GAAATTTCTTCAATATTTTACCTTCTTTATTATATTTAAAACAATTATTTATTTTTAATACAAACTTGAAATATTTTCAGTCAAAAATAACTTAAGCTCCAATTAAATTTACCATTGACTATTTTTAGTTTTATATCATAATATTATCTTATGAAAATATTATTATAGTGTTTAATAATAATAATCATCACAGACTTAGCGCGAATTATATAAAAATCTGACGTCTATATTAATAATAGATTGTTTATTATTGATGGACAACGACCACTGTCGATGCCTGCCGGGGGTCAGCTATACGATGAACAACAATATTTAATTTGTGTTAATTATAAATATATTATTATTTATCTTTATCATACCATTCTATCGTCTGCAAGACTGTGACAAACACGTCAAATCGTTGTAATCCTGAACTTTTTCCAAATACCTATTAATTTTTTATTAAAAGTACTAGCTACACTACCGGTTTCTACATCAATTCCCGAACGAACTTTTTCGACATTAAAACGCGTCTAGACAAATTTACGGAACTCTACAGGACAAGAAAGACTAACTGGGCTAGCTCTATTAAGTGTCCATAGAGATATTACTGTTAATCCCGATGAATTATTAAACAAGTTTGCTCTTCAAAAAGATAGGAATATATTATTAATATAAAATATGATTTATATTTGTACATTTTTTATTTTATATATCATATTTGTATAGTGAAAGCGACAATAGATGACAAAGTAATTTTGTTTATTTGATTTTATTATATTTTAATAAAATAAGATTAAATCTTTTTCTGCCTTATTTTTAACCAAATTTCAAAAGTAAAAATGTAAATTCAATAAAATTACAATTAATATGTTTTGGACCCCTCCCCCAAAAAAGAATTTCTAGATACGGCCTTGAGTTTAGGTACCATGAAAACTAGAATACTGAATACTAGATTCATCTTAACAAAAGAATCACATTTGGGAGCCATAGAAATAAAAACAAAATGTACCAATGTAGACCTCATAACTTCCGATCACTTCTAAAATTTAATATTCTACTCCCTAAAATCATAAGTGTTTAAATGGACACCTCCTTTACTTAATCTGTCTTTGAATATTCTATCATAAATATATTATTTTTACAGATTGTAAGTTAATGTGGCGTATTTTTTTTTGGGGGGGGGGAGGACATGTATTTAATGTCATGACCCCACCCCCACCAAGAAATAGCCCAAAATACGCCACTGTATAAATACACTTATTCGTTTTCTAATAAACAGAAAAAATACGTAAGTAATTAGGCAAATACATGGACATTTTAAATTTTTAACCATAATTGATATACCATGTATACGTATACATTTTTAATACATATATATAATCTTGTTTTTTTTTATATATATATACCCAGTGAATAAAATAATAATGAAACATTAAAGTGCCATAASATTTCTGAGTCGTGAGRTTTATTGTTCTGTTGTTGGTTTATTGATCCCCATTCACCAATATATATTGTAATCAATTATTGTACGTTTACGAGTTGTTATTATAAATAAATGCTAATTAYATAACGGTAAAAATTTTTGTAAAAGTTCAAAGTACAATTACATGCTTCCCAATCCCAAATAACATGTACTTCACATCGCAGATTCGTGTTTCCTTTTCAAACGAATAAATTAAATTATTTCAAACCTTATCTATAACCCATATATTGTCAGTTTGTGTATTCATGCAGTGTGGATGTATACCTTAAAACGAATATATCAGTCATAATTCCTCCTTCAATTGAATTAGTTTTATCGAATTTGAACTTTGAAACATTCCACTTAAAATTTAGTTATCAATTATCTATAAGAGAAAAACGTTTATTAACAGGGACAATAACCATGGCTTACTCTAAATTATAATGCATAATATATTTAATATAAAAGATTGACAAAGCCATGAAGCTATGGCCTGAATCGGTCTACTAAAAAAACAGATTTATACGTCTCTTATTCACAAACATCCTAAAAATCATTTACACTTCCAGTACACAAATATTTATCTCTTTAGAAGCTTAAAATCAAAATATTTTATTTTATTTGCTGAATGGAATGCGCTACCAAGAAAGTAAAACAGTTATTGTCATTTATCACTAATGGCAGCAGTTACCCGCGAAGAGTTAATCATTATCTGGCAGATACGATTAGTAGATAGATAATGAATGATTTTGCAACCAATGGCCTATGACAACTAGATGCACAAATTTTGCAAAGACTGAATGACTGTCAATCAATTGATATAATAGGTGATAAATTTACTAATAAAATGCCCAAAAATCATAAAAATTAAATTAAATATATTCCACAAAACATGAAATAGATTTGTAATAAAATGAGCTATCAATATAAAAATCTTAGCCCTAGCTATGAACTTTGTTGTATAACCATTATTATTTTTGAACATACTGTATTTTATTTCATTAGAACATTGTTAAAAACAAATGAATAATATCGCGAAGTATATTTGTTCAGAATATTAGTAGGATGAAAATAATACTATAAAAACAATCATTTCCAGTTGTCTAAAATATTAATTATACAAAATTATATTAATCTAAATATCAGTTCCCTTTTGACCTGTTGAGCAATATATGTGCTAATGAGAGCTAAGGCTTTGGGTATGTTTAAGAAATATACTAAGTTCAGCCATCTGTATTTGTGATTATTTCACTTTAATGTCCTGCTGTTATCGAACATCCGGTGTTTATTTAACATTACAAATTATCTATTTCTATTAATATATGTGATATAGATATTATTATACATGCATGTATAAAAAAATTAAGGTTTCAATAAAATAAAACTTAATTAAAAAAAACTGAATAAATCTAAAATATATATTATGTAAATGTAATTCAGTACGGAATATATAATAAAGCTTTGATTAGATGAGAATAAATAATAAAAATACTATTAATTTAACAATTAAAATTATAAATAAATAAAACTCACAAACAATACCTAAAATAAAATAAATAAAATGCTTATGTACCAAAGTGTGTTTAAACACTTTTATACATATTATTTATTATGTCAGAAATAATGGTGATTTAACATAGTCTGAAACGTTAATTAAATTACCAAATAACAAAAAATTACTGTACAATAATACATGTTCAAAATGTTTTTAGAAAGAGAAGAAGAAGATAAAGCACCACAGGCTGAAGATATGTAAAAAATAGAATGTATTGAAACATTATTTCTGATCATAACTAATAATAATTGTTAATTAATGTTACATAAGTATAAAATAATAAAACAATCATCAATACAATTTATAGTTGACAAAGTTTCATAAAATAATATGGCTGGATTTGAACCAAAGAAAGACCGTTAATATTTGACATTACGTTTCAATGACCTTTTGCAGCTTGTTTAGCAGCCATTATCAAAGGAGTTAGACTGGCTAAAGGTCTGGAAAGCTTCAAAAATGGGTGCTGTAAACAATTTATAAAACACACATTGCATAAATAATTTTATATGTTAAGTTCTTAGGTATATGCAATATTTAAATAATTTAAAAGGTATCTAATTTTTGCTTTTAATTGCATTAGGTACTTCAGAAATAGTTTTATCAATTAAAAATATTGTTTTTTATTTAATAGATTCTCAATAATATGGAAAAGGTCAAATGTTATCAATTATTGGTTAAAGTTAATCTTAAAACATTTTTTTGCTATCTACTGAATATTATAAAACATGTGTAAAAACGATAAAATGATTTTAATTGATAATAATAACTTTAAATTGTGCTATACATTATTAAACCTACCAGTTTTTATCAAAAGATAAATTTTACAACTATAATACTATACCATTTAGCGGGTAAAAACAGGAAACTATTTATTTTTGAAATCTAAAAATTTTTAATTTAAAAATATAAATATTAGACAATATTAGACAATAATCAATCAGAAAAAAGAAGAAAAGAAGTTAATATTCAAAATGTTTAACTACTAAATAACAATTTTACCATTGTACTCAAAAATTAATAAAAATGATCTTAATTGTAATTCAAAAATTTTGATCAACATTTCTGTAAGAGTTTTATTTTTTATAACAATAACCTTCATTCACAAAATAAGTAACATACAAGTTTTTTGAATGGTTTTTGACATTAAGTCTATTTTCATACAAGCTTAATTAATTAGCTCATTTAAAATACTTGAATAAACAGAGACATGAATAAAACATGCCGACAAACCTATAGCCTATAAACTATAAGATTTATTAAGATTTATTAATGCTGCCTTTTTCAAATATGAATTTACTATCATTGTATTTTTACATGGAATCGGTAATTTAAAAACAACACAAGTCATAAACTTGAAACTTTACACAAAACACTAATAACTTCATTACAAGTCRTTGACTTATGTTGTTTTTGTAGTGATTTGAGTTTCAGAGATATTTTTATAAAATATTAGTCAGATATATGTAGTTGATTACACAGAATAGCTACATATGTCATATATTACTATTAAATTTTACACAGTTATTTTAGTAAGAACTATGATTTATATTGTTTTTGAAATGTTTGATTTAATTATATTAGAATGTGAAGATCTCAAGTCATCTCATTTGAGATATTGAGAATTTCAATAAACAGCTTGATAGTTTATCCAATAGTTTACAAAAACGGTGGCTTATTACATTTAAGAAACAGTTGATAAGATTAAATTGTAATCAAATAATAATTGATAGATTGGATTTAAATAAAATTAACATAAACTTAAATAATTGTTTTAATAATATATTTATGTTATATTAGCTTTATAGAATGTAAATCATAGGTGTGCACATGGGGGGGATTGATAGATAAAATTATAAAAATAATATTTTTAAGTTAATAATTTGTTTTCAAACCCTAGATGTAAATGAAAAAATCAGTCTTCCAGTTCTATTATTGACAGTGAAAATTATTCTTTGACTTCAGGTAAGTATTATCGAATATTTCTGAAACAACCACACAACCTGATGTCAGAGTAAAAGCAAATGGAATAATATACCAAATGAAAAGTTATAACTTTATTTTTGCATTATATGTGATGAAACCTCTTTTAGCTCAAATTCAAATAGTGAGTGCTAAATTGCAAACTCCTGATTTTAATTTGTTAWCTGCTGTAACAATTGTTAAAGACAAGTTTAATAAGTCTAAGAAGCGATGAAGATGAATATTCCAGACTGTATAATAAAGTTCTGGATGTATGTAATGCAAATCAGATAGAAATATCTAATGTTAAACATAGAAGAGTATCTAATAAAATTGATAAAAACCATACTCAGTATTTTAGTTTGGATAAAATAAGTGAAATGAAAACTACTGTTTATTATGTTGTATTAGATGATCTATCCAACGGCTTAGAAAACCGTTTCTCACCAGAAACATTAAATTTTATAAATTCTATAAGTTGTATGATGCAGCACAAAATAGAAAGTTCAGACATTGATATTTTAACTAAAAAATTTGATTTACATAGAGATGAATTTGAAGGTGAACTTAGAATAATTTGTGCTATACCAGATTTTGAAAAAGGAACTTCAAATAATACAATACATAAATGGTTGGAAAAATTATCAGCCCTGGGAAATTTTATAAATGTTCACAAAACATTAAAATTATTTACAACATGCTCGAGCGATAGACCTTTCTCAAAACTTAGTTTAGTAAAAACTAAACTAAGGAGTCAAATGAAGCAAAACAGATTAGATTACATGATGATGATTTTTGTGGAGCAAGAATTGGCATCACAAATCAATCCAGAAGATATAATTTATGAATTCAAGTCTATGTACCCAGGTACACATCGTCTTGAATTATAATTTATAAAATTATTATTAAAATAACTAACATGACTTTTAAGAAAAATAACATTATTATTAATTTTTTTTATTATTATTATTAATCCTGGCCTTTCTTGTTATGTAGCTACATAAGTAACATACTGAAATTTTCAATCTGTTTTTGCTGTGCACCCTCAGCAAAAATGTCCTGCGCACGCCTATGATGTAAATATATAATGATTTTAAATAAAATACAATCTTACTTTTAAAAGTTCAGAGGCTGATGCACGATCTTCAACCTCAACTTCAAGGCACTGATCTAAAAAGTCTTGAAAAATTGGAGATAATTTTTCTTTTTCTTTGATCTCTGGTTTTCCATTGGTTGCAATTAAATACAATGCCTAAATAAATATTTGTATTATTTAAAAATACATCATGTCAATAATGAGTTTATTTATTATATTTATACCATACCCTTAAAGGATTTTCATTCAAATACGGTGGTTCACCTTCAATCATTTCAATAGCCATTATACCTAATGACCATATGTCTACCTTAGGACCATACTGTTTACGTGTAACTACTTCTGGTGCCATCCAATATGGTGTACCGACCATTGTAGTTCTTTTGGATTGCTCAGGTGAAATTTGAGCACAAAATCCGAAATCAGCTAATATTAAAAAATAAAAATGTATTATTAAAATATATCATAAATTAATTTTAAATTCTTAAACTATATGTAACACATCTATTTATCAACAAATGAATTTATTACTATTTGATTATTATTCGTTTGGACTAATTAATATTTTCATTTGGACATAAAGTAAGTTTCTTGAAAACCAAATATTTAAATTTAATGTTTTTAAACATACATTTGAATCACGATTACAAAAATAGTAAAATGTAAATGATGATAAAACTTAAGCTAATGAAAATAAAAACAATAAAAATTAACTAAATAAATATTGGATTCAAATTGTCAAAAATAAATATTTGTATTTGAGTATCTTTGAATTATCATTTATAGCTCTAACAATAAAGAGTCATATATAAGTACTTACTTAACTTGACACTACCATCTAATCCAAGTAAAATGTTATCAGACTTAATGTCTCTGTGTATAACTTGGTTGAAATGTAAAAACTGAAGGGCTTGAAGTACTTCGCGGCATACAGACGCTATTTGACCTTCGTCCATACAAGTTTCTGTTACAACATCTGTTAAGCTACCGCCAGGTAAATATTCCATTACAACCTAAGAATAACACAAATACTTTATATAATTAGATTATTAATACAGTATAGTCATTATTTTTAAAAATCATTAACTTTTTATGAAGTAGATTTTAATTTAGAGCTTTTTATGTTATAATTTAAATAAGATAAGTGAAGTATCAAAAAGTATCATATACAATTTATGAAGTACTACTCAACTTACCTACCTAACTTTAAATTAATATYAATAAAAATTATCTGTTTAATATAGATATTTTATACTTATAAATAAAAATTTTTAGTGAAATAGTTTTGGGTTATAAAATCAAAATTAAGATTTTTTACTTAAAAATTGAAACTTTAATTATCATTCTTCTATAAGCAACTAGTGATCGTCATCGTTATCGATATTTTTCGGCCATATTATTATTGAATGACACCCGTATTCTCATTATTAATTTATAAATAGAATAAAAAATATTATATTACCAATATTAGTATCGAAAACCTTAATAATTATTTTCAAAATGGAAGAAAAAATTAAATAAATTATTATTGTACATTTGAGTAACCAATTAAGTCAAAATTTGAAGTTCACCGCACGTAAAAAATGTATGATGGGGGGAGGTTTATAATATACACAACTTTATTTAATTTCCAGAAAAAAAAAATGTGAAAAGCTGTCTTATAAGACCTAAAGCGTTACATTAAAATGTGTATGAATTATTTTAAATTAAATATAATACACATTCCTACATTAAGGATTATGAAGAATATTGTCAAAAGTTACAATTTTAAATGCATTAAAAAAAAAAAACAGGATTATATTTTTTAATTGCCATAAGTACCACTTGGACCACTTATGAAGTACCATGCATTACCTAACCTTTACCATACTACATTTAAGAAGCCACCCTATCCCCTCCTCACAAAGAAATAGTACCAAGTTAATCTAATTTGCTATATGAAACAATCGAAAGATTGAAGTATGTACCTTAGAAAAAAAAACAATGTAAATACAAATTAAAAATAATAAAATTATTAYTATGCTGCTCAGAACCTAAAATCCTGTTTCATYGTTAAATTAATAATATATTTTTAATCAACAACCGAAATATATATAAAATAACTATTAAACTACATAAAATTATTATAAATGATTACCCAAAGTTCATCTTGAACTAAATAACTATCTAAATAGTTCACAACATTTGCATGTTTATTTTCTCGCATGACTAGTATTTCATTGATAATAAGCTCTTTCTTTGGTTGTTGACCTAAATTCATTTGTTTTATAGCCACTTCCATACCAGTTGACGTTTCAATAGCAGTATATACTGTACCAGAAGCTCTGTAACAGTTATAATGATTAAASAACTTATCATCACAGCATAATCTAATGAAATTGTAACTTACCCTTGCCCAATTTTTTCCATCTTGGTATATTTTCTATTTGGATCACCAACTGTTACTATTGTTTTTAGTTGTTCTAATATTTCATTATCAGCCACTTTTTTACGACTAGTAGCAGTAGTGTTATTTTTATTTTTATCCAATACTGGTACAGTTCCATTAGTTTGACTAGGCCGGTGAAGTGGAACCGGTGAAACTACTTTAGGTTCTTCTTGGATGATGGATCTAGGCTCATCTTCTTCTATTGGTTTAGTATACACAGATTTTGTACGCTCAGGACGTACAGATACAGGTGGTGGAGGAGATGTTTGTTCATCTGTTGTGGGAGTTGTGGTCAGTGAGGGACTAGTACTACCTGTCGAAGAAGAAGGTTGGCTGCTACTGACACCAGAGTATGATGAACTGCCTCCACTGTGTGCACCACGCACTAATACTTCAGTAGGAGGGGTACTATTTTGAACTGGATGGAAATTGTATAAATGTAAAATTAGTATTCTAAAATGGTATTAACATAGAATTTATTAATTACCAATATTTGTGGCTGTAGTCATATACTTGGAAGTTTTAGATTGTTTACTAGAGTTATCAAACCAATTAAGCACATCAAGAACAGCTTGTGGATTCTTTTTTTGTTCTTGTTTGCTTATATTGGATGTTATTAAAAGTCGAGCCCATGCTTCTGGCATACCCTATATCAATAATATTCATTATTATAAAACAATTTATATTTATTTATATTTATATTTATTCACAAAAACAATTTATTTAAATATGTTCCACTATTGAGTATTAAGTAAAAAATAAAGATAGTGTCTCAAATATATACTCTATTTTGGTAAATTTATAACAAATACAACTATTAATGAAGAGTAATGAGATATAAAGTTGGATTTTTTTAAATTGAACTACATTTAAAATACATTATTAACTAGCTTATATTTTATAAATTATACCTTATAAACTTAAATTATAAAAAAGAGTTCTTAGTTAAAATATCCGTAATAATAACTTCATTTTTTTCATTTTTCCTACAATAATAGTTATATTATTGAATGTATTAATAAGCAACGTGTATTTATGCTGTAACTACTAAAACACCAAACACATTTTATGTCCATCTATGCTACTCACAAAGCTGTTGATGTTACTCACTTTATATGGCAGCTTGAAACAAGAAAAAACAAACACAGAATTCTAGAGACATTTGTCTATTTATCAATATTAGTTGAGTGATTTAAATTAATGCGTGCTAAAAATTTTATACATTTATCAAAATTTGCAAAATATTTATCAATTATTATGCTATAAAATAGTTCTGAACATATACTTAAAAATGCAAGAAAACACTCAACAATTTAAATATTGTATAAATTTCATTAAGTTAATTTTATTTATTTAAGATAAAATAAATAAAAAATTAAGAAGCTCATGATGTTAAGTAACCCAAGAAAAATATTTAATTTATTTAAAAAGCAATTAAATCTTTTTATTTTGATTCTAGGTATATTACAAAAAATTACTGTACTAACTTTTATTCCTTTAATAGTTTTCTATTCTATACTACATAATATAATATGTAAAAAAAACACAACAAATTATGGAAATACCACTAAAGGGTACTTCACCATTGATTAAAGAATTTTTGACATTAATTGACAATAACATATTTGGATACAGGATTTCAATTTCATAAATAAGAGATGATGAGTTAGGAAAAACAGTGAAGGAGAAAAGCATTTTTAAGTCGGTTTCAAATATAAAATAAAAAATATGGTTTTAAATTTTTTTTATATACAGAGTATATCTTGATGATTTACCCATTGCGATATCTCCCGAAATAATGCTGATATCGAAATTCTGGGTTTGTAATAAGACTCACAGGGATAAGAACTACAATTATTTCATWTTTTAATTTATTTTAATGTTTTTGTAAAAAGGTATAAAGTATATTTTTGTATTTAATTATTTCCAAAAAAATTAAAAATAACCATTTTGTAAAGATTATTTCCCTGAAAATATTTACGTTTCGAAATTTTATTTTCTAAGTTTTCTAATTTTTAATATTTTTTTTTTTTAGTTCTGAGAAAATTGTGAATTATATAACACCGTAATGTTATCAAACATGTGAACCGCCGAGCTGCGCGCATTCCCATACAGCCGGCCGAATACTTTCCATGTTCCTAATAGTTATAATCATATTTTATTTCTTTAAAACTAGAAAACATATTAAAAATCAGGAAATTAATGAAAATAAAATTTTGAAACGTCAATATTTTCAGAAAAATAAACTACAAAATGGCTATCTTTATTTTTTGGAAATAATCAAATAAAAAAATTAATTTTTTAAATTTTTTACACAAACATTAAAATAAATTTTAAAATGAAATAATGGTAGGTCTTATCTCTGTGAATCTCATTATAAAACCAGAATTTTGATATCTCCATTATTTTGTGAGATATCACAATGGGTAAATCCTCAAGGGACACCCTGTATATTTGTTAATTGTTACCTTTGTTGTGCATAAGAAAACAAATTTAAAATTTAAAATAATTGGTATAGTTTTTTCATTTGTAACAATGGCCAACAATAAAATTTCAAGATATTTGTTTTTTTATAAATCATATTAATTTTCATCCGTTTTTTTTTTTTTTTTGTTCAATCTACTACCTATAAATTATAATAGTATTAAAAATAACAAAATTGTTTTAACTACCTACATATAAAATACATAAGCAATTTTATTAGGTTGAACATAAGAAATGATAATTATTAATCAGAATTCTTGTAACTGTGATTTATAATAGTTATAACACTATCAATAATATGTGGCATTTTTACTTTATAGCCAATATGTAACAGAAAATGAAAAAAACTTAGTGAATACCAGAGCTTAGATTTTTGGTATTTATTTATTATTACAGAATACATTATACATGTAAAGAAAAGTAAGCTTTAAATTTGTTTTATTCGCCAAAGGTCCCAAATATTAAATGTTGTT